GAGGGAGGAAGGGAGGGAGGGAGGGAAGAAGGGAGGGAGGGAGGGAGGGAGAGAGGGAGGGAGGGAGAGAGAGAAAGGCAATATGAGTCTTTTCTATCATATGCTATGAAACTTGTGTTTAGAACAAGGAACTGAAATCTTTTTTACCACGCCCACCTTGTAAGATTTCTCCAAATGTTTTAATCACCACTGTCGCCCAGTAAAACCTTTGTTTACAGGAAGGTCCTCTGCAGTTTCCGTGAATTTTAGGGACTAGAGCGATGACTCCTTTCTCCTTGGAAGAATGACCTTTCCCTCTTCCTTCATTTCCTGTGGGCCAATTCACTTCAGACTTGCCAATTAAACTAAGACCGTGAGGTTGGATTCCAGCCAATGGGGAAAAGACACAGTCACCACCTGAGTTAGAATAAAAACAAATGCCCTTCCTGTCTCTGTGTGTTTACTCTCTGAGTTCACCCTCTTGATCAAGAGTCAAGTATGGTGTGGTGGTGTCTGCCTTTAATCCCTGCACTCGAGAGCATCCCTGAGTTTGAGGTCAGCCTGGTCTACAGAGTGAGTTCAAGGACAGTCAGGGCAACACAGAGAAACCCTTTCTCAAAAAAACAAATAAACAAACAACAACAAAAACGTAAAGCATGCCTTGTCTAGACACTTCAGATGGATTAGTAGTCTCCTTCTTTGACCCTGAACTTATTTTAACATCATCAAACCTAAGAACTGAGTTCAAGCCCAGGACCCACACGGCAGGAGGGCGTATTGTCCTTTAACCTCCACACACACGTCATGGTATGCATCTAGAAACATACACACACAACTTTAAAAAAGTGGATCTGCCCTGAGGGAATAATACCCTGGATCAACCTCTGGTCTCCACAGGTATGTACACATATGTATGCCTGCCTCAGCACCACTCATACATACACACATGCTCTCAGGTGGTTTGTTTCACAGCAAAAACAAATTAATAAACACTTGCCTCTGCGCTGACTATCAGAGACTTCCTAGATGAGTTCTGCACTGTAGGTAACAAGTTTCCCTAACAAAGGTTATTGTCCACCGTTTTCTGCAAAACCTAGACTCCATAGCATCCCAGTTTGGTTCTGGTTCTAAATCCCATTACACGCTCCTTTTTTTGCATCTCTCAAAAATCATCCTTCCTCCAATTCTAGCTCCACAACACTCTGCAATGGCCTGGTTTTCTGTTGTTATTTCAGCTCCTTGGCTGGAACCCCTCACCCTCACTATCCAGTGCAGGACATAGCCCAAGCCATGCAGCATCCCTGCGAGGTGAAGGCCCACCTCCTTTTGTGGGAAGATGAACATGACACACACTCTTTGGACACCACCTTAAAAACCTCTGGATCAAAGCTGACCCTCCACCCAGAGCAGAGAGGGGCTTTTCTAGGCAGGCTTCACCCTGGCCTGGCACTTCCTGTCTTACTTAGGGTTTCTATTACTGCAGATAAACACCATTAGCTTAGCAAGGAAAGGGTTTATTTCATCGCATAGCTTGTACTCTATCACCGGGGAAGTCAGACCAAGAACTCCAGCAGGCCAGGAATGTGGAGCCGGGGTCTGGTGCTGAGGCCATGGAGAGGTGCTGCTCACTGGCTTGCCACTCGTGGCTTGCCCAGCCTGCTTTCTTCTGTCATTCAGAACCACCTGACCAGGATAGGACCACTCACAATGACCAGGACCCTCTCACACCAATTATTAACAAAAACATCGCCCTCACAGGTCTCCCCACAGGCTAATCTTATGGAGGCATTCTCTCAATTGGGATTCCCTCTTCCAAAATGACTCTAGATTGTGTCAAGTTGACAAAAACTAAATAAATACACTAAACACAACTAGCCAGCACAATAGACCCCTTGTAAATTTGACACACAAATGCACCACTGTTCAACTGGCCTTTCCTTTCTTATCTGTCCCCAAGATGATACGTTAATATTAACAACATAGCACATTCTAGTTTTTTAAAATTTTGCAATATTTTACAAATCAGACATTTTAAAAGTTCAGTCTTTTTCAATGCTTAAAAGTCTTCTAAAATATCCAAAGTCTCTCTAAAATTCCAAAGTCTCTAAACTGTGGGCGTTCATGACAGAGAAAATAAGTTAAACACTTTCTTATTTCAAGAAGGAAAGGCTAGGGCACATTTACAATCAGATCAAATCAAAACCAAACTTTGGTGTTCAATGCCTGCGATCCACTCATGATCCTTTGGGTGCCAAAGGGTTAGGACAGCTCTACCTCTTGGATTCTGTGATCCAAACCACATGGAGCTCGCCATGCAGACTCAGGCTAGCTCTCCTCCATGGCTGCTGCTGTCCTTGGCACTCATCCCATGGTGTTAGCAACTCTGAAATGTTGGGGTTTCCACTGAAACTGAGCTGCACCTTCACCAATACCCTCTCTTCAGGGTCTCTGATCTTGCCATGTAGTGTCGAGCCAAAATCTCTCCATGTCCCCTTCAATCCTGGTACTTCTGCATCACCTGCAGCTGCACTTTAACCAGGGGCATCTCCTAACCGTTTGTGGTCCCACGCCTCAGCGGCTTTCCACGACTCCTTTATGCCTTTAAAGCCAGTACCACCTGGGAGATTCTTACTCATTACCAAGCTCACTTTCCAGCGCAAGGTGCAACCTAGGTCACTTGTGAACAATAGCTTACCCTGAGAAAACGCTCCTAAGAAGAATTTTTGTTTGTTTTGTTTTTCAAGACAGGGTTTCTCTATGTAATAGTCCTGGCTGTCCTGGAACTAGCTTTGTAGACCAGGCTGACCTCGAAGTCACTGAGATCCACCTGCCTCTGCCTCCCAAGCCCTGGGATTAAAGGCATGCACCACCACCTCCCAGAGAGATTTTACCTCAACATTGTTGGTCTCTTCTTAATCACTACTAATTTCTCAGCACTAGCTAATGGGCATTGATTGTCCCAGCAAAGCAAAGATTTCACCTTAGTAATGCTGGCTTCTTTGTAATCACAGCCAATTATTCAGCTCCAGCTGACCAGGACCTCAAATTCTTAATTCAAAATATCATTCAAATAGCTCTGTTCGTCTTTGCTACCCTATGAAACTTCACAAGTCAGGTCCCCACCATCTGCATCGCTCTCACACAATTGTCTAAGTCCCCACAGTCGCTCATTAAGCCCTGAACACTCAGTAACTTTTCCATTCCAAAGTCCTTCCACATTCTTCCCCCAAACACAGTCAGTTCCATCACAGCCATACCCAGCTCTTGACACCAATTGCTGTCTGGGTTTGGGAGTCTGTTGCTGTGGTAAAACACTGGGGTAGTTAGAATGAAAGGGTTCTATAGGCTCATAGGGACTGGCACTCTTGGGAGATGTGGCCATGTTGGAGTAGGTGTGGTCTTGTTGGAGGAAGTGTGTCAATGGGGGTAGACTTGGAGGTCTCAGATAACTCAAGCCTGGCCCAATTGGCTTACTTGCTCTTTCAGCTGCCTTTGGATCCTGACACGGAACTCTCAGCTACATCTCCAGCACCATGTCTGCCTGCATGTCATCATGCTTCCTGCCATGATGATAACGAACTAGACCTCTGAACTGTAAGCAGACCCAATTAAATGTTTTCCTTTAGAAGAGTCAGTGTGGTCCTTGCGTCTCTTCGCAGCAATAGAAAACCTAACTAAGACAAACACCATGACCAAAAGCGACTTGGGGAAGAAAGGGTTTATTTCATCATACAAACTAGTTCATCTTCCAAGGAATTCAGGTCAGGAACTCAAGCAGGTCAAGAATGTGGAGACAGGAACTGATGCAGAGGTCATGGAAGAGAGCTGCTTCCTTACTTGCTCTTCATGGTTTGCTCAGATTGCATTCGTATACCATCCAGGACCACCTACTCAAGGGTGGCACCAACCAACGGACTGGGTTCTCCCACATTAACCATTAATAAAGAAAATGCCCCACAGGCCAGTCTTCTGGAATTGTGGTTCCTTCTTCTCAGATGAATTGAGATTGTGTCAAGTTGACCAAAACCTAGCGAACATGTTTCCTGAATACAGATGAGTAGATAATCAAAAGGGCACCAATCTCAAGCATATGTAGCTCATAAATACGTGGAACTTGGAGTCTGTGGGTTTCCCTTGACCATTAGGAGCCAGTGGGTAAGTGCTTGTTCTCCAGAAGACAATTCTGAGACATTTCAGGTTTTCTGGGGAAGGTCATGATGGCATGGAGCCCTAGATACCCACAGCGTTTGCCAGTGTGCTGACCCACCTTACACAGGTTTTCTTCTAGGGTTCAGTCCCCATCCCTCTTTCCTGCTTCCTGGAGTCATGTTCTCGAACAAACTACCTCTTCACAAATTTTTTCCTCAAGCTCTCCCTCAGAAAGCCCTGGCCAGGATAACAGCCGAATGTCAGAGAGGTTAGGTTTTTTGTTTGCGATCACATACCGTAGGCATGTATCAATTATACTGACAGAAAAGGTGAGTATCTGTATGGAGCCTAGATCATTTAGGATATGACATCATCTTTGATCATGTGCAGTCATATGGCTCAAACAGAGAAAACAATGGCGCCATTTGTGAATGGCTAAACCAGAGAAGTTTAATTACGTCACATACACATAGCCAATATTGCTTGGTTAGTTGAGCAATGTCTCTCCCAGCATGGTTCTGAAAACATAAACAAAATAAATGGTATAAATAAGTCAAACTGAATTTATTAAGATTGATTTATTTGTTTTTAATGTGTAGAAGTGCTATGCTTGCCTGCCTGTATGTGTACCTGGTATGTACCTACTGTCCACAAAAGTCAGAAGAGGGCATTGGAGACCCTGAAACTGAAGTTACAAATAGTTGTGCAATGCCATTAGGTGCTGAGGACTGAATCTGGGACTTCTCAAAGAGCAGCCAGTGCATTTACCCAGCTCCTCATAGTTGATTTTTAATGATTCAGTTATGTAGTCGGGTGTGGGGAGCACACCCCTTAAATCCCAGCACTTAGGAGGCACACAGGTGGATCTCTGTGAGTTTGAGGCCAGCCTGGTCTACAGAGTGAGTTCCAGGACAGTTAGGGCTACACAGAGAAACCCAATCTTAGAGGGGGTAAAAACAGGTTAGACTATTACAGGCAGGGCTTCAGATCCTTTAGATCCTTTGCCTTTGTTCTGTTTCCCCTGAGGCGATCGCCTTTTCTGTACTCTTAGAGCCACATTAGGAATTAACTCATACCTACGGGCTCGTGTTCTAGAAGTGTGCTCTTGCAGCATGCATGTTCACTTACTGGCTTGTCTTGGAGCTTTCTTTTATACCACATGAACTTTTCCTAGAATATGAACAAACCACAGTCCCTTTCCTTTCAGAGGGTTCTTAGGGTGTTGCTAACCTCCTAGCTTCTACTCTTCTAACACTGATGCTATCCTGAGTTGACTTTTTCAAAGCTTCAGACACCGACACTGACTTATCTGCACATCTTCATACCCCCTCCCTGATACAGTTAACTTTGAACTCTGTAAATCATGAGTCAGAACACAAGCAGCAAAGAAGAACGGGCAACAGGGCCAGTAGAGAGGAGAGATCGGGCTCTGTGGTGGAACAGTATGCTGTTTGGTTGTTCATCAACTCGCCATGAGCTAATGGGGAAGAGGGAACCTCAAGTGAGAAGATGCCTCCATCAAAATGGCCCTTAGGCAAATCTGTGGAACATTTTCTCAATTAATGATTCATGTAAGAGGATCTACCTCATTGTGGGTGTTGTCATCTCTGGGCATGTAGTCCTGCATTTTATAAGAAAGCAGGCTGAAGCTGGATGGTGGTAGTGCACACCTTTAATCCCAACCCTCCCAAGACAGAGTCAAGCATGTCTCTGTGAGTTACAGGCCAACCTGGTCTACGGAGAGAGTTCCAGTACAACTAGGGCTACACAGAGAAACCCTATCTCAAAAAAACAAAAAAGAAAAGAAAGGCGGTTGAGCAGTACAATGATTTATTTTTTCTGGTGACAAGGGCACAGGCCCAGAGCCAAACTCAGCCTTCCCTCGGTCATGCTTCCAGAGCTCGGAGTCTGGACAGCCGGGAGCACAGCCGTAAGGAGTGGTGCCAATGGCAGCCAATAGGCACAGTCTCCTCATGCTCGCTCCTTCTGAGGAATCTCACAAGGTACCCTGTAATCGACCAATAAACTCCTCTCCACTTAGGCCAGAGTTAGTGTCTGTGGTTGGTGACCAAATGCCCTGGTCAGTAAATGCTATGACAAAGAGACCAGAGATCTGGGCGGTGTCCTAAGTCATTCTGGTTCATCAGGTTCTAGATAGTGAGAGGGAGATGGTCCCATGACCAGCTCAAGTCACAAGGAAGAGAGCTATTGAGTAGGGAGGGGCCCTAAAAGGGCAGGAAAGCTAACCCAGCCAGATATGCTAATTTTAGTTCTGGTTATTGGGGGCTGAGGCTCACCGTTCTTGTTATATTCTAGGGTAGAGCGGCGCTAGCTCATGGTGTTTAACTAAATGCACAGAGCTGGATTCTCATAACCTAGAATGAACACTAGGAACAGCTTTAAGGAAAGAGGGGCAGGTAATGAAGAGCAATGAGGGGACTGAAGTGCCATGTGGGCTTCAGGGGGTCCTTAACAAGGCAGACTAACCTGATGTGAGATACAGACTGAGGATATGGCCCAATAGCAGAGCACTCGCCTAGCATATGCAAGACCTGGGGCTCCATTCCCAGCCCTGCACAAAACATAAAGGAAAAAAATAGAACCCTTTAGAGGTCATGGGTATATGTATAAATGTATTGCAGACACAGATATAGATACACACATGCGCATGCACACACAAAGAGAGATCTCAAAGGAAAACACAGAACAGAGATGGTATAATGCCCAGAGAGCTCCATCAATAAGGAAGAAGCCAAAATGTAAGCAGGCCAAGGTCACCAGAGAACCTTTTGTGGAGGCCTTGAGTAGGCTGCAAGATGCTTTCAGTACTGAGTCAGCCTGAGTGTCCAATGATTCCAATGTATTGGTTAGCTAGACAGTAAAAAACAAATTCCTTCAAAATAAAGAGGCTTTCCTGGGCAGTGGTGGTGCACGCCTTTAATCCCAGCACTTGGGAGGCAGAGGCAGGTGGATTTCTGCGAGTTTGAGGCCAGCCTGATCTACAAAGTGAATTCCAGGACAGTCTTCAAAGCTACAAAGAACCCCTGTCTCAAAAAAAAGAAAAAAAAAACTAAAATAAAAAAATAAGCTTGAATGTCATGAATTTATGAGTCTAGATCAGCTAAGCCACCTCTTATTGTCTGGGTCATCATGTGTCTGTGATCAGCTATGAGACGAGGAGGCATCTTCTGATATTGCCTGGGCTTGCTGGCATGTTTCAGCACCCGCTAGTGGCTGGGCTAATTAGGCCTGATCTAGAGCCCACCCATCTCTATCTCCCTGAGGTCTCTTACCCTCCCATAGGCTCACCTTGTTCACACAGCAATGTCTAAGCAACCCTGTAAAAGCAGATGGTGTCTTTTGAATCCTAAGCTCGAAAAGGACTCAGCATGACTTCCAGCACTTTCCATTGGCCAAAGCAAGCTACAGACTCGAACCAGAGCCCACTTCTCATTGGAAACGGCTATAAATCCACCAGGTACAGGGTGTCAGTTCAGATTGGAACAGCAAGTGGGGACCACCTTATAATCACCTTGTTATATGATAGTGGGGAGTTTGACAAGGAATCTGTTGCCCAACTCTGGGATTTCAAGAAAATCTTTAAACTACCCATTTGTTCCTTAGAAGACAGCTGATGACCCAGCTCTCCAATGGAAACTCCCTCCTTCCTTCCCCTGAGGTCCTCATGACCACATAAGTAGCAAATACTGCCCTTGACTCTTACTACCTCCAACCAGCAGCACCCGTGGGTCTTTGCCCATGCACTTCCTTCAGCCTCTTGACCTCCTTCTGTCCACCTGGAGTCAGCAGTTAATGTCCTACCCCAGGAGTCTGCTCAACCCTGCCCGATTTGTCCTGCTGTGGAAAATAGCTCATGTGTTAAAGATTTGCTCCTTGCACTGGGGACTGCGACAATGTAACAGAACCTTTAACTGGTAGGCGTAGTAAGAACTCCTAGTCTGGAGTGTGCCCTCAAGGGAGGCTGTGGGACATGGTCTCTTTCTCCTTTCTAATTCCTAGCCACCATGAAGTGAGCTGTTAGCCCTACCACACACTTCTGCCGTGGGGCACACCCACTGCCCAGGCCCAAAGTCATGGAGCCAAGAGACCTTTCGTCTTTTTATGCTGATTTGTTCATATAATGATTTGTTATAGTAACATAGTAATTCAGTTTACTGGCTGCTTCCTTATGTGGCTTGTTTCTCACATTCCTACTGAAGGTCCTAAGATCTCTTTAAACTTAAGCCACTTCCACCAGAACCTTTATCTCCCAGTCTCTTGCCACCTCCAAAGAAACCAGCCCACCAAGCTAATGATTATTCCCCACAGGCACGTCCAAGCCAAACCTGTTCTCTCTTCAGTGGTTCAAGTAACCACAGCAGGACTTTGCTCATTGAGAAAACACCTCCACCTCCAGCCATGCAAGCCAGAGACACCTACAAAGCAGCATCTTCTTGGAAATCCACCTCACAGGCCTAAGGACTTGTACAGTGACTGTCAAGGCCGGGTGGTAGTGCCACACACCTTGAATCCCAGGACTTCATAAACCAAAGCAGGTGGATCTCTGAGTTTGAGGCCAGCCTCGTCTATAGAGCGAGTTCCAGGACAATCGTGGCTACATAGTAAAACCCTGTCTCAAAACACAAATAAACGAATAACAACAACAACAACAACAAAAAAAGCCGTGACTGTCAAGGCCTTCTGTTGGAGAGGGATGGCATATAGGTCATTTTGTGCACCATCGCGAATCACTAAATAAGAGTTAGCTGGAGGCCCCATCCAGACTTAGGGTATGGGGGTATAAATAGTGAAATCTGCTTTAGAGGGAATTGCAATGGTCCTAAATCTACCACCATGGCTATCGTGGCTATTCTGGTGAAGCTGGCTTTTCCCTCAGCACTCATCTCCTACCAAGCCCTTTTCTGCCTCTGGATGCCTCCTTGCCCCATTCCAGAAAGCAAACATGCACAGAGGGCATGATTATTCATGGATGAAGAAATTGGCTCTAAACTGGGGAGTAGCTTTCCCACTTTCCCAGCACCACAGAACGTATAAGAACGGAGTGAGGTTTCCAGTCAGGTCCCTCTGACACCCGAGCCCTGTCCTAAGTCTTTTTGTTGTTGTTGTTGTTGTTGTTGTTGTTGTTGTTGTTGTTGTTGTTGTT